CTTATGTCCAGCAGTGTAAACTCTCAATCATCTTCACCCCCTCCCTCTCTAAGCAATTTCGTCAGTCAGCTATCTGAATTGCTGTCTATTCTCTCAAATGCTCTTGCCCCTCTGGCCCCCGGGGTTGCATAGATGTCTCTGCTCTTAAGATATGTCGTGCAACAACGGGGGCAGATTAGACTATAATCCGTCGTGCCCCACTTTCGTACTGCTCTATATGGCAGTCTGAATGGGGGCACGTCGAACACGCCGAGCGCGAGACGCGTTAGCGACCGCCGACCAAAGTGGCGAAAGTTGGTACTACGGGAGGCCAAATTCCAAGCCCTGCGCCTGGGGCTGCAAAGTCAAAATATGACATGTAGGCCTGGGTACAACTGGCCAATTGAGGTCGGACTCGTAGTGGTATGTCGTAAGACCTCGGGCTTGTCACGTGTATCCCTGTGCCTGTTCTAGGTGCAGGTATATGCGTCCCGGGAAATGCCATCGCTAAGATAGTAGTGTGTTATAATTTCCCAGAGTTATGCCCAAAGGGGCGAGGTACTCAATCCCGTCCTTCGGACGGTGGGAAGCATGGATTTGATGCTCTTGCCCCTCTTCTAAAAATGTTTAATGTTAACTTTCCTTTCGATGAATTACTCACTAAGTGTAATAAGCTTAATTCCTATCTATCACAGACCCACTAGTCTTTAACTATGGCCTCCATGTCACAATTAAGAATATTGCAGTGGAATGCCAGAGGCGTTTCTAACAAATCTGATGATCTTGCTCAAATAGCCTTTGGGTATGACATCATTCTAATTTCTGAATCGTGGTTGACACCTTTCACTAATTTTTCAATCAGGGGTTTTAACATTGTTAAATTGGACCGGTGTGGTAGACGTGGTGGTGGTCTAGTTACTGCTATCGCATACCACCTGCCTTATCGGCGCATTGACTGTATCTTCTCCGTTCCAAATTCCCTAGACACCTTAGAGGTTTCTCTTCAATCGCCTGAAGGTAATCTACTTATTGTCAATGTATACAAGGCTCCTAATGCAACGATTAGCAGTGCACAATGGACATGTCTCTTTGAGTCAATGGAAGGATTTTCCGGTAAATTTGTAAGGGGCGACTTCAATTGTCATCATTCCAGCTGGGGCTGTGCATCGACCTGCTCTGGTGGTGTTTCTCTAGCCAATGCTCCAGAAGATTCTGACTTTTTGCTACTCAATGACGGAAGTCCTACTTGGTGCCCGCGTCCTAACCAAGAGTCTTCCGCAATTAACCTTTCCTTGATGTCACCAAATTTATTTGCACTTAGCTCATGGAAAACCTTAGTGAATCGAATGGGAAGTGATCACTTTCCCATTGATATTAGTGTTGGCACTTTGGTGAATACTCAGTCCTTCTTCTCTCACTAAATAAACTTTAAAAAATTTGATTAGAGCAAGTTCTATCTCTCTCTCAAAACCTATGAGTCTTTTTTAGTCCCTGAGGGTAAATTAGGCCCCCCTAGCCATATGTATGAAAACTTCTTGCGCATCTTAAAGGATTGCATCTTTGACTCTGGGGGTAGGTCCCTTTCTGTTTTTCCTGCTTCACCTATCACAAATTGCACTTTTGCAAGACGCAATAAGACAGCATCCCCCTCTCCGTGGTGGAATGGGGAATGCTCGAATATTTCGGATCTTAGATTTCAATCTTACTCCATCTACTTACACGATCCCACTTGGGTTGCCTACGACAACATGAAACGCCGTGAGGCAGAAGCTCGACGTTGTTTTAATAAAGCTAAACGTGATGGCTGGGCTTGCTTTTGTAAATCTCTGAACCGCCCTACACCCATCTCTGTTATTTGGAAGAAACTTAAAGCATTTAAACACAGACGTTGTGCCTCAGTGGCTCCTTCTTCATCGGGAGACTTGGAACAGCAGGAATTACAATTGAGATTTGTGGACAATATGTGTCCTCCTATTGATCCATCCGCGTTGCCTCCCGTCTTTCCTACTCATATTCAATTCTCTTCTTCTTCCATTCCTGTTGATTCTCTCAATAGTCCCTCTTCTAAGTCTGAATTCAAAATCGCTCTTGATAATAGCAAAAAAAATTCATCCCCCGGCCTTGATGGCATTGATTACAAACTGATTGGTAAACTTCCGGAATCTTACAAGGACCATCTCCTCCACATTTACAATTGCCTTCTTCAATCACATACCCTCCCTCCTTCGTGGAACGATTTTATTGTCTTCTTGCTTCCTAAACCTGAAAAAGGCAAATATCGTCCTATATGTTTGGCATCGTGCCTATTGAAACTCATGGAGAGAATCGTTGTCAATCGAGTAAATTGGTGGTTAGAGCACTTCCATATTCTTCCCTGCTCACAATATGGGTTTCGTAGAAGGAGATCTTGTGCAGACAACCTGTCAATCTTAACTTCACGCATTCTAATAGGTTTTGCTGAAAGAAAATTTACCCTAGGAGTGTTCCTTGATATCAAGTCTGCGTTCGATAATGTTGATCCCAGTCTTCTAGTTGGGGTTTTAGCCTCTATTGGTCTTCCAGAGAACTACTGCCATTTTTACTTCAATTTACTTGCCTTGAGACGCCTTTTCTTTTTGGTTGGTGGATCCCTGACTGATCCTCGGTTGGTTAATAAAGGTTCAGGGCAAAGTCTAGTCTCCAGTCCCACTCTCTTCAACTTATATATCTCTAAGCTTGAATCTGATTGAGCCTGACTGCAATGTTATCCAATTTGCTGATGACATATGTATCACTTCTTCCCATCAAGACTATGACGTGGCTCTTGAATCGTTCCAGCGTTCCGTGGATGGTGTGAACAAATATCTTGCTGACCTAAAGATGACTCTTGCTCCAAACAAATCTAAACTTGTCATTTTTACTAGAAGAAATATTCCACCTCAACCTTGTTCACTACTGATAAATAACACCTCCATAGAAATTACCAACTCAGTTACTTTCCTTGGAATCACCCTCGATAGTAGACTTTCTTTCAATGCAAATGCCGCGAATCTGGTTCAAAAATGTAATAAACTAATATCAGTTACAAAAGCCCTTAGATCCACCTGGTGGGGCGCTGACCCTATCATTCTTTAAAACTTTTATAGAGCCACAATTAGAAGTGTTTTAGAGTACGGTTGTCATGTGCATCCACCTAGTAACATTCAATTATTTAGTAAACTCTCGCGTATTCAATTTAAAGCCATAAGGCTAGCCATTAGCCTAAGACAAAGCTCTTCTACCAATGTAGTCCTATCTGAGGCAGGAGAGTTTCCCCTCTCCATCAGATTTAGTCAGCTAGCCTCAAGGTATATTTTACGTACCCTTGCTCTTGAAGAGCATCCCCTTCTGGACCTCCTACAACATCTCCAATGTGCGGCTACTTTGAAAGCCCACTCTGATGCTGTTGTTCCCTATAATATCTCTGCCATACCTCTTTTCAAAGCATATTGCAGTTCTAAAAAATACTCCAGTCTCGTTTACTCTTCGGTGAGTGCCACTCGATATGAATTCCCTCTAGAAGTGATACAGCTTACCCCAGATATTGACCTGCACTTTGGCTAACCGTTCAACATATCACCTCCCTCTCCCACAACTGATGAGGATTTCAATATTCTACTTAGGAAAACCTACCCAGACCACATAGCTTTCTACACAGATGGATCTAAGTCGCTTGACTCAGCCAAAGCTGGATTTGCATTTACCTGTCCAGCCCTAGACCTACGGGAATTTCATAGAATAAATTATAACTCTTCAATTTTCACCTTAGAGCTCCTTGCTATCCTCTTTTGTCTGAAAACTATAGTAACTCTTAGACCCTCTAAATATATCATTCTCTCTGACTCGCTTAGTTCCCTTATGGCTTTCTCAAACTCTGGTTCCCTGCACTCTAATTACATAATCTACCAAATCAAAGACCTGATTCTTACTCTGACGACCCAACAATCCTCTATAAAAATAGCTTGGATACCTTCTCATGTTGGTATCTCTGGAAATGAGGAGGCTGATGAGTTGGCGAATGTCGGATCCGGGAGAGGCTCTTGCACACCAGTCCTCCTCCTGGTCTCAGACATTTTCCAGGCTTCAGACTCCTCTCATAAACAAAACGCAATCTCTGCACTTAGCGCAGAGAGTGTCAATGAAAATAAAGGCATTCATTACTTTAATAATTATAGCAATTCCACGTTAAAACCCTGGTTTCTTACTCTTGAATTAAGCAGACATATTATTGTCATGACTTCTCGATTGAGAACGAATCATTACAGCCTCAATGCTAGTTTGTTCAGAAAGAATATAGTATCATCTCCTGCCTGCCCTTGTGGTCAAAACCTCGAGGACATCAATCACGTCCTGTGGTGGTGTCCTTTATACAATGCTCACAGGAAAGCCCTGTACATCTCCCTTAAAAGCCTCAACCTTGACCCCCCCCCCTGTGATATTTTTCCTCTTCTAATTAAGCTATTCCCTAACCTTCTCTGTGTCCCCTTCAACTTCATGAAGAAAACAGGACGCAGTGTTTAAAGAAATATAAAACTCATAAATCTCGCGCTTCCGTTAGTTCGGATAACGGCCGTAAAGTGCAATAGCGCTGGTGCCTAGAATAGATAGATTGATTACTGACCCAGTGCTGAGATGGCTACCGTAGTTCCTTTCAGCTAATTAATCAAATTGAGAATTGATTAATTCTCAACACAATCTCATTCTGTTATGTTTGGCACTAAATTTAGTTTTTCAATTGAACATATCAAAAAGTTCAGCTATCAAACTTTTCTTGTTAATTATCATAGGAACGACACAGTGAACTCGATGAAACCTCTCGAAAAGCTCATGTCTTTCTTTAAATTTCGTTAATAGAGAATTAAGATTTTCAAACTCTTTTTCTAAGGAAAGATCAATATCAGTGACGTATTAACATCAAATGTCAGTAATAGATCATTTTATTAGATTAAAAACTTTTTAATATTAATAACTTTGAAGAATTTTTCACTAATATCGGTCTTATTTACAAAGTATAAATGTGTAAATATATATTCACTTACTGCTGAAGAAATTTACTGAATTTGATAAAATTTTTAGTTATAGAATGTAAGTAACTTAACAGATATATGAGCGAAAATTTAAGTTGTGACTGGATAAGGTTGTATTAGTATTGTATTATTAATCAGGGCTTCTTTTTAGTGTCTGATTACGATAAGTGAAGAATCCCTAACAGGAGTACTATAAAGCAGACAAGTTAGGGTCAGTTCGGACTGAGTAAAGTTTTATCAGAACCACGATTATAACCAAAAGGATGCCAAGTCCAGCAAAGCCTTATGAATCTCTTTATTAGGCAACAAACTGAAAAATTCAAAAATATACAGTATATATTCGTATCAAACGTACTAAAACTGGGTTTGAATCCAAAAACACCGTTAAAAAATGCTGGCATCCGAATGGATCCACCAATATCACTGCCAAGAGCAAAGGGAGCTCCACACGCAGCTACTGTTGCAGCGTCTCCACCACTACTCCCACCTACAGTTCTTGTAATATTATACGGATTATTAGATTGTCCATAGATGAGATTTCTTGACTCTACCCATAAGTTGAGTTCTGGAATATTGGTTTTCGCAATTACTATGGCTCCAGCATTTTTCAGTAATTTAATTGCAGTAGCATCGTCTTTAGAACGATAGTTTCGTCTAACAAGCATACCCATTGAATGTAATAAACCTAAAAAGATTTTGACAAAATTTTATTTCAGATGATACATTTTAATTTTGTTATTATTTACCTTCTACTTCATTGCTTTCTTTTGTTGTGAAAGGAACACCTAAAAGTGGTTGTTTTGATTGCAGTATTATCAAATCTTCATCAGAAGCAGTACTGAGGAATTGATCTATCATCTTCGCTTCCTCGATGGCATTCGTATATCGTTCATCCACAATTATATTCAATAACGAATTTATTTGTTTACATCGATTGATGAATGTGCGTACTACATGCTCCGCGGGAACTTTCTTCTTTCTGAAACATACAAAGATAAGAGTCAGTCAACGGCATGAGTCGGTATATATATATAACATACTGGAATACATGGTATATGATACATAATACTATGGAATTTTTATGAAATATTGTTTTCAGTAAATTGACACAAATTTTAATAGTTTTATTTTCACTCACGCGTTTGTGCATAAATTTACACAGGGTGTTTTCCATTTAGAAAACACAAAACACTGTGTCGACACAGTGTTATACCACACTATAGCATTTTAGGCAAAAAAGTAATGCCAACTTAACACACCCCAATAAGTTCAAGAAGTAGAGTGTAATATAAATTTAAATAATTTAACTAAAATATTTTATATTAAATCAAAAGCAAAATTAACCTTCTATAAATAATCACACAAAGCACACATCTATAGAAATAATATGACTTATAGGAGTACTAGGAAATCGCAAAAATTTTGTTAAAATATAGTAACTTTATGCATGCTGCCCTCTGTTAAAACACAAGAAAAGTTAGTATTCCATTTATAAAATTATTGAACACAGTGTCGACACAGTGTTTTGTGTTTTTTAAATAAAGAACACTCACAGATACACAAAAGTAAAAGAATTTATAATTTATAACAGCGAGCTCCGAAAATACAAATAAATAATTAATTTGTAATTGTGCATTTTAGAATTAAATGAGCTCATTTTCTTTCATATGATTTTCATAAGATAGTAACGTTATTATTAACTTCCCATTAGGAAGTTATTGTAATGGTCCGATTTGGCGACGCTGGAATTTTGACAGATCTCGATGTTTTAACATGTGAGGAGTTCATATCGATAGTTTTTAAGAAGATGTATGTATGTACGTACGTACGTATGTACGTACGTACGTATGTACGTATGTGCGTTCGGGTTGCAAGTAATTTCTTTCGTTCACGGTTTCTCAAAAACTAATTAAGATATCCACTTCGGATCAATTGCATTCGATAAAGAATGTGACAAAGAACAGGTGAAAAGATTTTAAATAAAATTGGTCGATTAGTTTTTTTTTTATGGGCAAAAAAAGAATTACAATACAAAACTGGCGAAGGTTTGCAAACTTATATCTCGAGAACGGTTGGTCCTACAACAAAAAACTAAAGTACTTTTTTGTAGAGAATTTTCTTGCGAATATTTTATGTCCCATGTTTTTTTTCAGGGGACCTACCATTTCAAAGTTATTCAAGGTTAAAGGTCCCAAAAAAGGGAGGTATTGTACAAACAATAAAACGGTTGGTCCTAAAAATTGAAAAAACTTTTTTATTGATAATTTCGCACAGTTTACTATGATTATTTTAATTTGCTACGAGAAAATTATTATGATCGTTTGATTTCACAATTTCTGGATTTTAACATATTTCGACATTTTAACGTGTGGAATTCATATAAAAAAAATGATATATCATAATGTCTTCAAAACAGTTATTTTTATGACGAAATCGATAACGACTATTTTATAGTACATTATTTTTTAAACATTTTCTGGCAATTTCCAAAATGTTTTTGAATTTTTGGTGTCGATTGTCACTAGGTAGCGTAAAGCTTAAACAAGTTTGACTTACAAATGAACATTGTTGCTGATACCTATTGTACGATCATGTTCATAAATTTCAGGAAAGCCAATTTGTAATCGAAATCGTCTAATGGGAAGTTCCTCGTGTGGGCGCCCCGAATGGCCTCACACCAATTTTTCGTTCTTGAATAAACCCGTTAATTCCTAAAGGAAATGAAGTCCTTCCTGTTGAAAAACAAATTTGCGTAATGAAATTAATAAGAATCTGCACTTTAAATATTTGATTTTCAATGGGATTGAATCGGATGAAAAAAGTTGTGAAAAGTAGGAATAAACAATGAAAAAATTTTGAAATTAACTTCTAGTGGTAATCTAAGAAAAACTTACTACAGAATCTGACAAAGTCTGATCTGCTTGAATAGAATTCAAAGTAAAAATAATCTATGACGAATTTTTAATTGAAATCTATCGAAAAATTTTTATCAATAACTCTTTTAGAATCACATTTTACCCAAAAAACGCTTATTCCTGAGACTTCGTCTGTACACCCCAGTGGAAAAATTTCTCAATTTCTTTAAAAAATCAGAGAAATACGGAAATAATTAAAAAGAAATACACAGTTCTATATTCAATTCTATACTTTTTTATAAATACTCCATCGTAATTATTGTGGACGATAAAAATCTAAAAAACTTAAGAAAATACAAAAATTTCGCAAGTTTTCAGATACCAATAAATAGTTTCTATTTACTGGTTCTGAAAAATCTCAAAAAGTTGAAAAAATACAAAAATTTCTTAGGTTTTCTTTACCAAAAAATACCCAGTAAACACTGAATATAACAGCGATAAAACATAGAAGTAACATTATGTAACAAGCTACATAATGGAAAATTACATATATGTCATATAACTGTAATATATGATCTAAATAACAAGTTTATATTGCAGATATAACACCCATGTGACATTATAGCTATATAACGTAGTTATATAAGAAAATTTTCCAATAAAAGAATAAAAATCTTACAGATAGCACAGAAATATAGTAAAAAATGAGCAATTTGTTCTGTAAAGTTGTGAAAAGAATGACAATATATGAAAAAAATGAGAAAATCACGAGTTTTCATTTCTCAGTATTTCCTCGACCTTTTTCAATTCTCAAAGAAAGTGTAAGAAAGTTTCGGAAAAAATCTGAACAAATTTTTCGACTACGGTAGTCACTATTGGAATGATGCGTGATAACCAAGGTCATGTGAGGGTTTCAGCAGAAAGAATTGGTGATCTGTATTATCTAAAACCTCCGCCGGAGTCTGCTTGTAATGCTTCTCATGAATCTAAGGAGCAGTACTCTGATCTACGCAAGTGGCATGACAGACTAGGTCATTTGAACGTCGACTTGAAGAAGCTAGTAAAAAATGAAGCCATAGTGGGAAAAATAATTAATGGTAATGACAAGTCCACTGATTTCGAGATTTGTCTCTCAAGAAAGCTCACTGAATTACCGTTCCCCAAGAGAGACGGACGGAGCCAAAGACCCTTGGATTTAGTTTTTCTTGATATTTGTCGCCCTATGACTACAGTATCAAAAGGTGAGGGAAAGTACATTATAATTTTTATTCATGATTACACTCGTTAGATAGATTATTCAGTCTGATGGTGCTCGGGAGTATCGAACCAAACAGTTTAATAAGTTCATGAAGGCTGAAAGGATCCAAAGGAGCTTCAGTGCACTATACGCCCCAACAAAACGGGATAGCCAAACCAAAAAATCGTACACTCGCTAAAACGGTCAGATGTATAATGTTTCAGTCGGGATTGTCTGGGATCTTTCTGGGCAGAAGCTATCTGCACGGTAAACTAAGTGAGAAACAGTTTTCCAACCTCTGCATTAAATGGCTACACTTCTCATGAATATTAGACTCCAAAAATCAGTAACCTAAAGTATTTAAGGGTGTTCGAATCAAGGGTTCTTATGCTTGAGCAGTAAAACTCTCCTTAGAAGTTTGAGAGGCGTGGTCGAAAAAGTATTTTTATAGGATATTCCGAAGAACACAAAGCATATAGGATTTGAGAATACTTCAACAACGGATCAACGAGATCTCAACGGTGTCAACGCGTCCTAGATTTGTTTCAATTCTTAATCCTGCAAGAAGCTCGCAAACCATCCGACGGATTCAGTCGACACTCTGATCAAGGTCTATCGAATAGCGAGGTTCCTGGGATAACTATCACTTGTAGACAACTATCTTTGTAGAAATTAGAGGTTTAATTAAGAAGGATGCTTGAAAGCTCGTGAATCATCCAATAAACAAAAACGTGATTGAATGTCGCTCCGTACTTATAAAATTGGTGTTAGTGTAGAGGTTGAAAAAAGAAGGGTACGTCTGGTCACCCCAGATTTCACACAACATCAACAAATTAAAACTTGCATTCTACACCTTCGGTATAAAAAGTGCTCATAACGGGAGAGTGTTACATTCAACGTTCGAATGCAGTATGAATTCGCGCATAAACAAGCTTAACATGCTCAGAAAAATGGTAATATAAATGAAACCCATAGAATAGAAAGACCAGGTTTTGTTTATATATTGAAAATTAAAGGAAGAGAAGCTGACGTGCTTCGGACCTACTATCAGTAGCGAATAAAAATTACAAATAAACACTATCCCAGTGAACACAGAATGTCAATATGATATAACAAGGGAGTAACAAGTTACGTAACTCTTTTGACTGATTAGTGACATAACAATTACATAAAATGTGAAATTTACGTTCTGTACTTAATTAATACTAATATATTACGTAAGAGTTACATGGCATGGTGACTCTAATAAAACGTCATAATAGTGACTCTTATGTTATGTTTTTGTGACGCATCTACATTTTTATTTAAATAACATTTAAACCTATTTGCATACACATGATGTAACAATAACATAACATGAACTCAGCAACATTTTTTGCATGTTATGTCGCTATTCCATCTGTACCCCACAAAAATTTCTATGAATTCATGCATAGCATTTACCTAATTTGAATATTTTAATTACCTGAATATATACTATAAATAACATAAAATAAATAAAATAAAGACGTAGGTTCAATAGTCCAGTAACGGTGCAATTTTATTAGCAAATTCAACCTCCTATCTTAAATCGAGGTAATTTTTATGTAAAATTGCACGAAGATTCTGAAAAAACTATTCGCAGGCAAAAAAAATGCACGTGTCATTGAGTTTTTTTGTTCTAGACAGTTTTTGCCTGTTCGAGGCCTCACATTTTCATTAATAACTTTGCAGCTATGCAGAAATCGACGATACCTACTAGGACATTTTTTGTTCTTCACCATATAACGAAGGGTTCTGTCACCTCACTTTACTTTTTTCCGTCTATTTTGTGAAATATTCGATTTCAAAAAATGAAAAAGATCATGCTAACTATTTTACAGTTATCATGCCAATTTGTCGGCATTA